TACATGTACTTGTACAGATCAACATGGTTGTCTTTGACAGGTATCAGTTGTCCTCCTTCTACTAGTGGGAATCCGAATGAGAAGCCAGTAGCGAAAATTACCTGAAATTTGAGTGAGTCAAAAAAATTGCACAAATTATGTTGTGTGCCAAAAATTTTTGACATACCGTGTCAACTTTTGGCACCTCTGTACCGTCTTCGAAAATTACTCCCTCCTTGGTGAATGAACCAACATTGGGCTTGATCTGAAGTGAATTTTCACTCCTTTTCATCCCCACAAGAGGTTTTTTCAGCTTACCACAACAGTGCCAGAAATGATACGGTTCGGCAATTCATCGTTGATTGTAACATGAGCAGCAAGAACACGGTGTTTTGGCGTTAGGCCAAATCTCCCATGATCAAATCTCCAAAGAAATCAAAGAATTACCAGTTAAAGTGTGACCGCTGTCACTGATAGCTTTGACGTAAACAAACCTTCTATTCAGTTTCTTTTCCAAAATGCGGTTCTGTAAGCTCCATGGAGTCACATGTTTGAGGAAGAAGAAGAATCTGAACAAAACGAGATCATTTCGGATTTTACCATTTTCCGCTTCATTCATTTTCAAAAGATTAGTTTCTGCGCTACAGTAAATCTTGAGATAGTAATTGCCTCGATTACGGGGGATGCCGAAATTATCAACATTACTTGTCATTCTCACGTATCCTGCCCATTTACACAAGATTTTGAAGTATTTCCCAATTTCTTAAGTTAGCATCGAGGAAGTATCGAAAGATGCCCCGATAACATAGAAACAATTCTAAGAACCCCTAAAATCTTTATGAGGTCGTTTTCAACGAACCTGCTCAAATAGGCCAAGTCTGCTGGTTCTCCACCGTCCCATACTCGATTCATTACCCATGATCCAGATCGGGTGGCCAAATACACCTAAACAGGCAATTAGAATGCGCTGAAGTAGCGTACAAGTGTGCGGTAATAAGGAGCACAAGATTCTTGTTATTGAATTGAAATTCTAAAAGGACTCTTACTTTTTTGCATATTTTGCTGAGTTCAACTGCAATGTCTGCTCCACTATTGCCGATTCCAATCACAACCACAGTTTGGTCCTCATAGCCCTTAAAAATGCCTCGCATCAGAAATAGAAAGAAAATTCAAACTCTAGCTACCCTATGGTCCTTGTAATCATGACTGTGGACCAATTTTCCGGTGTATGCTTCCTGTCCAGGGAATGGATTCGGCCAGTAAGGATCGGTATGATGTCCCGTACAAACCATCACACCATCAAATGTTTCTACGGCACCATTATTCGTCCTAAATCCATCGTTTCTCTCTTCTTTTCGAAAAAGGACATTCACATGTAGGTGTGAAAGTGATTCGATTTTTTTCGACGCCTAAATACAATGACTCACTTGAGGTCAAGCCATTCCACATCCCATTGTCCGGTCTCGGAAAAACGTGCATTCCTCTTGATAGATTTTACTTTATGCGA